AGCCGCATCAGTCTTAAATTATTTTAGTGGTTTTGTTTCCTTCAGCAGAACAATATGCTGATGCTCTGGATAAGGATCTATCTCAGTTGCGTTAGCTGTTTTTCTGAACTCTGCTTAAATTAGATTTGAGAAGGTCCAACCTTGAACAGTGCCTTCCGTCGCGCCCTTAAAACCCATTTATTTAAACAAGCCGGGCTGGCTTAAGATGAAATTTTTAACTGTTTTTAAATGTTTTAAACGTTTTTAATTGGTAAATGAGTTTTAATTGGGCCAAATTTATATATCTTTTAATTGTTTTTAATATTTGTTCTGCATGTTTTTTAATCTGGCTGTACACCGCCCTGAGTCCTCAGGGAGAAGGGCGGTATAGAAATCCAATATAAAATAAAATAAAATAAAAATAAACATAAAGTGAACAAGACTGCTGGCCTTTGAATTGTTATTGTCTGTGTGGGGTGTTGCAATCGGTAAATAAAAGTATAGCAAGTATTTGACACAAGTGTGAACCTTTCTCTAGACAAAGCAGTCTTGAGACTTTGAACAAACATTGCAGCCAGCCCATTTGTAGCTGAATACAGTAGTGGCCTAAATTGTGAAAACCTTTTGGGGAAAGTGTATTTTTGAGGTTTGATGTCTAATAACATCACTTTTTGGGGGAGTTTCAAGATACTCATATTCCACTGTTGGAATGGCTTGGGAACAGCCCAGACCTTAACCCAATTGAAAATCTATGGAGCCGACTAAAGAAACTTGTTAGTCAGAAGCAACCCAGCAATCAAACCCAGTTAATAGAAGCAATCATTCAATCTTGGTTTCACATGATAACAGCTGCAGAACTAAAAGACTTGGCTCACTCCATGGGAAGACATTGTAAGGCCATAATTCATGCTAAAGGTTACCCAACTAAGTATTCACTGACATGGTGATCATTTTTGTATATCTCGTTTTTTCTATGATGATAATTTTTGTATATCTCATTTTTTCTACGTGTTTCACTTTTCTTCTTTATACTGCAACTGCTATTCTAATAGCAAATCCTTCATAAAAGTTATTGCATTACATTCTCGATTAAATTATCTTTCCACTGATATATAATTTTATGGCACTACTCCCCAAAAAAGTGGGAGTTTTCTAAAAGCTAGTTTTAGAAAAGAACGCTTTTCCCAAAAGGTTTCCACAATTTTGGCCACTACTGAAATATGGGTTGGTGTTATAGGTCTGAGTCCATTCTTTTTCAGGTTGGTAATTATCTGGCTACAATTGGGTGGACTGTCACTCAATATAGCTTGTCTTCAACGAGTCTATGATAATTCACCACACCAACTCAACACGGCCAACTCGTCAAGGACAACTCACCATGCCCAATTCACCATGGCCAACTCACCATGCCCAACTCACCATGGCTAATTCACCATGCCGAACTCACCGTGGCCAACTCACCGTGGCCAACTCACCATGCCCAATTCACCATGGCCAACTCACCGTGGCCAACTCACCGTGCCCAAGTCACCATGACCAACTCACCATGACCAACTCACCATGCCCAACTCACCATGCCAATTGTATTGTCAATTATATTGTTATTAGCTTGTATGCACAAGAACTGGAGGTCATCCATGACTTTGTGTACCTCGGCTCAACTATCTCTGACACTCTCTCTTTAGGTATTGAGCTGAATAAACGTATTGGTAAAGCAGCCACCACATTTTCCAGACTTACAAAGAGAGTATGGCTTAATAAGAAGCTGACGGAACATACAGAGATCCAGATCTATAGACCCTGCATCCTGAGCACACTCTTGTACTGCAGTGAGTCTTGGACCCTTTACACACAGCAGGAGAGAAAGTTGAACACCTTTCATATTTTATTTATTTATTTATTTGTTTGTTTAAATTTCTATACCGCCCTTCTCCAATATAGGATTCAGGGCGGTGAACAGCCAAAGTAAAAACAAGACATACAAAATCTAAAAACTGTTTAAAATAATTAAATATTTTGGCCGTAATTAAAACAATTCCAATTTAAAATCAGTTGAAAATTTAACTCAAGCTAGCCCAGCTAGTTGAAATAAATGGGTTTTCAGGGCCTGACGAAAAATCCGGAGGTCTGTTATTGTACGTATCTCTGGGGGGAGGTTGTTCCAGAGGGTGGGCGCCGCCACAGAGAAGGCTCTCCCCCTGGGGGTCGCCAGCCGACATTGTCTGGCGGACGGCACCCTGAGGAGGTCCACTCTGCAAGCGTACTGGCCGGTGGGAGGCTATTGGTGGCAGAAGGCAGTCTCGTAAATACCCCGGCCCTGAGCCATGCACTGTCTCCGACGTTTTCTTGGCATCACCTGGCAGGACAACATTCTAAATAGCGCAGTCTTGGAACGTGCTGGAATTTCTAGCATATATACACTATTGAAACAGCGACGTCTTCACTGGCTTGGGCATGTCGTGAGAATGACCGATGGTCGGATTCCAAAAGATCTCCTGTATGGAGAATTAGTGCCGGGAAAACGCCTCAGAGCGAGACCACAGCTGCGATATAAGGATATCTGCAAGAGGGACCTAAAGGCCCTGGGAATGGACATTATTAACAACTGGGAAACCTTGACCTCCGATCGTTCAGCTTGGAGGCTAAAGACGCAGCATGGCCTTCTCCAATTAGAAGAGACACTTGTTCGGCAGGCTAAGGCAAAGAGGCAGTCCCGGAACCAGCGAAATCTGGGGGCTGGGCCAGGGACAAAATGTATCTGCCCTCAGTGTGGAAGGGATTGCCACTCTCGAATTGGCCTTTTTGGTCACACTAGATGCTGTTTTAGGACCTTTTTCCAGAACATGATACCATAGTCTCTTGAGACTGAAGGATGCCAATGGAATGTATGTCAATGTTTAACACCACTCTCCTTTTTTGGTCTTTTTTATTTGTAAATGGTATACCCTGACAATGCATTGTTTTTTTAAAAAAAAAAAGTTGTTTATGAATAAAAATTATTTTTAAAAAATTAAAAATTAGTTATCCCTATTTTATAATGCTTACCAAATTCTTCTTCTTGCACAACTGGATTCCATTTTAAAGTCATGATTTGGTTGTTATCATGAGGTATGGTTGGGGGGTATTTTTTTCCCCTGTGTAACAAGCTGTTTGAAGATATCATACTTGCATTTAAAACTTTTGTCTTTAAATCTGCATTGAACCAGCATGTGTGAACCTCTGCCACAACAATAACTCAGTTCATTTGGGCCTGTCACTCTTTGAACATACACTATTGCAAGCTTAGTTGTGTTTCCACTACTGATTGCAGCTTTATAGTATTTCTAGCAACTGTTTCCATGGAGATAACTATTTCAAATGTTCACCTAAATGCTAAATCTGTCTCTGTTAAGAGTCTTCTTCGGAAGGTTTTCTTTCAGAATTCTACAAAACAGTTTCTCGGTTTGTTTTGCCCTTTGCCAAATTTGCAACGTTCAGACAGTATTTTCTGTATCACAATGGTTGATGCCTCTTTTTGTCTATGTTAAATAAGGTGAGATTCTGTTTCATGCTTCAAAAGTCTTCTCAGATTTTTTTTTTCATGGGGATTAAATTGCTTATAAATTAAGCTGTATAGAATGCAGAATAGTAGAGGTGAAAGAGACCTTGGAGGTCTTCTCGTCTCTATACCAGGGGTGTCAAACTTATGTCATTGCCAGTGGTGGGATTCAAAAAATGTTACTACCGGTTCTATGGGTGTGGCTTGGTGGGCATGACTTGGCTTGGTGGGCGTGGCTTGGTGGGCATGGCAGGGGAAGGATACTGTAAAATCTCCATTCCCAGCCCACTCCAGGGGAAAGATACTGTAAACTCTCCATTCCCTCCCCACTCCAGGGGAAGGTTACTGCAAAATCCCCATTTCCTCCTGATCAGCTGAGACTCGAGAGGCAGAGAATAGATGGGGGCGGGGCCAGTCAGAGGTGGTAGTTACCAGTTCTCTGAACTACTCAAAATTTCTGCTACCAGTTCTCCAGAACTGGTCAGAACCTGCTGAAACCCACCTCTGAACATCACATTGTCGTCATGTGACATATCGCAAAATTTTCCCCCTTTGCTAAAATGGGGGTGGAGGTGGCTAGCGCATGACATATCCAGCCCGCGGGGCATGAGTTTGACACCCCTGTTCTATACCATTTCAAACAAGTGACTGGCCAATCTCTTCTTAAAAGCCACAATGTCTGAAGGCAAGCCGTTTCACTGGTTAATTGTTCTCACTGTTAGGAAATGTCTCCCTAGTTCTAGGTTGTTTCTCTCCTTGTTTACTTTTCATTTATTATTTCTTGTCTTGTCTTCTGGTGCTTTGGGAAATAGGTTTGAATCCAGGGGTGGGCTGCTGGGGCTTTGCAGGGGTTCGGAAGGACCTCTAGCTAAGATTCTGTGCAGTTCGGAGAACCCCCAAATCCCAGTCCAGGCTGGTCCTGCCTAACCCTCCCTTCCCCTCCCAGGAATCCCCACACGGCCTATTGTGAATGTAGGTAAGTGCAGGATGCAAGTGGAGGCTCAGGGAGGGCGAAAAACGGGCCTACCGGAAGTTCGGAAAGGCCGGAAACGGGCCTATTTCTGGCCTCCAGAGGGCCTCCGGAGCCTTGGGAGACCATTTTCACCCTCCTGGAGGCTCGAAGAAAGCCTCCGGAGCCCGGGGAGGGCAAAAATGCCCCCCCCATGGTTCAGGAGGTCGACTAGGCCATGCCCACGCAGCAACCGGGCAGAGAACCCCTTGCTAAAAATTTTGAAGCCCACCCCTGGTTGAACCTCTCTTCTTCATGGCTGTTCCAATATTTGAAGGGCTGCCATGAAGAAATGGTGTACGGTTTCCTGCTTAAGCAGGGAGTTGGACTAGAATATCTCCAAGATAAACTCATCCATTACCTCTCAATTGCTTATGTCTGTGTTCCTTTCCCTTCCTTTTTCAGCTTCCCCACAAATCTCTCACAGTGTAATAGGTGTGGATATGTTAAAAAGTGTCCTTTTATCCTTTATAGGTCAAGAAAGGTTTGGGAACATGACCCGAGTCTATTACCGAGACGCCGTGGGAGCTTTTATCGTCTTCGATGTTACAAGGCCAGCTACCTTTGAAGCCGTAACCAAGTGGAAGCAGGATTTGGACACTAAATTGACTCTCCCTAATGGCCAGGTGGTGCCAACTGTCCTATTAGCAAACAAATGTGATCAAGACCAAGAGTTACTGGTGAATAATGGCTTCAAGATGGACCAGTTCTGCAAGGACAATGGTTTTGTGGGATGGTTCGAAACATCAGCTAAGGTAACTCCCTTCTGTGTCAGGTAATAGTATTGACCCATTGAGTTAGGCTTGGTCATCGTCAGTGGTGAAATCCAAATTTTTTTACTACTGGTTCTGTGGGCGTGGCTTGGTGGGCATGGCAGTGGAAGGATACTGCAAAATCCCCATTCCCACCCTACTCCAGGGGAAGGATACTGCAAAATCCCCATTCCCACCCTACTCCAGGGGAAGGATACTGCAAAATCCCCATTCCCTCCCCACTCCTGGGGGAAGGATATTGCAAAATCTCCATTCTCATCCCACTCTGGGGCCAGCCGGAGGTGGTATTTGCCGGTTCTCCGAACTACTCAAAATTTCTGCTGCCACTTCTCCAGAATCTGTAAGAACCTGCTGGATTTCACCCCTGGTCATCACTCATTATAAAAAATATGTAAAAAAGATGTTGAAACTCTAGAAAGAATTCAGAGAAGAGCAACAAAGACGATGAGGGGACATATGAAGAACGGTTGCTGGAATTGGGTATGTCTAGTTTAATGAAAAGAAGGACTAGGGGTGACATGATAGCAGTGTTCCAATATCTCAGGGGCTGCCACAAAGAAGAGGGAGTCAAGCTATTCTCCAAAGCACCTGAGGGTAGAAGAACAAGAAGCAATGGATGGAAACTAATCAAGGAGAGAAGCAACCTAGAACTAAAAAGAAATTTCTCGGTAGAACAATTAATCAGTGCAGTGACTTGCCTCCAGAAGTTGTGGGTGGTGCAATACCAGGGGTGAAATCTAGCAGGTTCTGACAGGTTCTGGAGAACCGGTAGCGGAAATTTTGAGTAGTTTGGAGAACCGGCAAATACCACCTCTGGCTGGCCCCAGAGTCAGGTGGGAATGGAGATTTTCCAATATCCTTCCCCTGCCATGCCCACCAAGCCACGCCCGCCACGCCACACCCACAAAACTGGTAGAAAAAAAATTGAATTTCACCACTACCCAATACTGGAAGTTTTAAGAAGAGATTGGACAACCATTTATCTGAAATGGTATAGGGTTTTCTGCCTGAGCAAGGGGTTGGACTAGAAGACCTCCAAGGTCCCTACCAACTCTGTTATTCTGTTATTAGATTCTACTATCCACTGAAGGGCCAGATTATGGCCAATGGATCCCCTAAGCACAGCCCCTTATCCCTTCTATTGCTTATCTAACAAGACATTAAGACTCAACAAGGGCTGAAAACTACAGCCAAGTATGACAATGAAAGCATTAAGGGTACGATCGCTAGAGGGGGAAATCTCCGTGGTCTCCTCTTTCCCATGATGGCCTAAGTACCTGCTTGTTTTGCTTAAGAGCTAACCTAGGGCTGCTCTGATAGGAAGTCCACTGTGAGACCAATTATTAAACATTTTGCTTTCAGGACCCTGCCCCATTTTTAAAAATAATAGAGGATCCGAAAAGTGCTTTCATTTATATGGGATATATTTACTAATATTCACCATAAAGGTAAAGGTTCCCCTTGCACACATGTGCTAGTCGTTCCTGACTCTAGGGGGCGGTGCTCATCTCCGTTTCAAAGCCGAAGAGCCACCGCTGTCTGAAGACATCTCCGTGGTCATGTGGCCGGCATGACTAAACGCCAAAGGCGCATGGAACAATGTTACCTTCCCACCAAAGGTGGTCCCTATTTTTCTACTTGCATTTTTTACGTGCTTTCAAACTGCTAGGTTGGCAGAAGCTGGGACAAGTAACGGGAGCTCACCCCGTTACGCGGCACTAGGGATTCGAACCGCTGAACTGCCGACCTTTCAATCGGCAAGCTCAGCGTCTTAGCCACTAAGCCACCATGTCCCTTTTATTACTTTATAAATAACTCAAGGCAGTGAACAGATTTAATACTCCTGCCTCTTCCTGTTTTTCCCATAACAACAATCCTGAGAGATAGGTTGGGATGAGAGAGAAGTGAGCTCATCCCGTTACGTGGCACTAGGGATTCGAACTGCTGAACTACCAACCATATAAATATTCACCATGTTTAACATTAAATTTGATGAATTTGTAGAATATTCTTTTGTTGAATCATGTAAAAATAACAATATTAAACCCAATAGATACAGGTACAACCGCAATTAATCCCAAAATTTTTGTTGCGAAGCGAGACATGTGACTTTTGCCCAGTTTTACAGCCTTTCTGGCTAGTCAGTGCAGTTGTTAAGTTAGTAACAGGGCTGTTAAGTGAATCTGGCTTCCCCATTGACTTTGCTTGTCAGAAGGTTGCAAAAGGGATCACATGACCCCGGGACACTGCAACCGTCATAAATACATGCCAGTTGCCCAGGATCTTACTTTTGATCACATGATATGGGGATGTTGCAGTGGTCGTAAGTGCAAAAAACAGTCATACTTTGAACAGTCGCTAAATGAACTGTTGCAAGTCAAAGATTACCCTGCATTAACATGAATATATTTTCATGAGAAAGCTCTTTACTTTTTTTTAACAAACTAAATTTAATAATGAGAAGAGCAGCATGGTTTTAAATGTTCGCAAATGCCTTTAGTACCTGGAAAATTCTTTTGATGTCACAGACACCTGAAAGGGTGTTTGAGACGCTCAGGAGTCCTTGAGCCACACTTTAAGTATAAAAAGGTAAAGGTTCCCCTCGCACATATGTGCTAGTTGTTCCCGACTCTAGGGGGCAGTTCTCATCTCTGTTTCAAAGCTGAAGAGCCAGATGTCTCCATGGTCATGTGGCCAGCATGGTTAAATGCCAAAGGCGCACAGAATTCTGTTACCTTCCCACCAAAGGTGGTCCCTATCTTTCTACTTGCATTTTTTACATGCTTTCGAACTGCTAGGTTGGCAGAAGCTGGGACAAGTAATGGGAGCTCACCCCGTTATGTGGCACTAGGGATTCGAACTGCTGAACTGTCAATCTTTCAACAAGCTCAGCATCTTAGCCACTGAGCCACCGCATCCCTCTACTTTAATTATGACATTGCTAGTGTTATACTTTAAGTATAACACTACTCTAATTGATCTAGTTTAGGCAATGCTACATCGAACATTAACTTCTCCCCTCCCAGATCATCAGAGAGCATAAAAGATGACCTCTCTTCTTTGTGGTTGAAATATAATTAGCTTGAAAAGATAGCTCCATTTATATCTTGCTCCTTTTAATTTTGTTCCTAGTCTCCGAATAGAGGTGTGAATTTGTATCCCACTTCTGACAGGCTTCATTTTGAGGGGTGCAGTGGGCCATCGGTTAAAGACGCTGGAACTTGTCAGCTGGAAAGCTAACCACCCGAGTTTGAGATCCAAATTCTGCGCAACAGGGTGAGCACACGTTCCTTGCTCCAGCTCTTGCCCATCTAGCAGTTCGAAAGCATGCAAATGCAACTAGATAAATAGCAAGGGTGAAATGCTACCGGTTCGGACCGGTTCGCCTGAACCGGTAGAATAAAAGCTACCAGTTCGGGCGAACTGGTAGTAAAAAAAATGCTACCAGTTCAGACGAATCGATATTTCTGATGATCAGCTGTGCCGCGTGATTTATATTCGCTAGAAAGCAGGAAATCCTGCTTTCGAACCAGTAGCGAAGCAAATGGTAGCAGACTTCAGAGCATTTAGCCCCCGATAAATAGGTACCATTTTAGGTAACAACATTCCATGCACCTCAGAATATAGTCATGCTGGCCACATGACCATGGAAATGGTCTTTGGACAATGCTGGCTCCCTCAGCCAAGAAACGGAGATGGGCACTGACCCTTAGAGTTGAATATGGCTGACAGGGAAACGTTTAATCATTCTTCTCCCATTGCTTTGAAGAATTTGTATCATGGCACAACTAGTGTTTTTTAAAAAGAAACTTTATCTCCATCCCAATTTATCTCTTTCGTTCCATGCGCTTTTTGCAGATTTCCCTTCTTTCGCTTGATTATTTTAGAAATCTTATTAGCATATCTTTTGGGTTTGGCATTTGGTTGAACTCAGAAGGGAAGAATTTATGGGTGAGTTTCACATCATTACCTCGAAGTTTTAAACCTAGTAGCTTGTAATTAAATTTTTGAGATAAGATACCCGATTTAATTAGTCTTTACTGCATGTTTCCTAATGCCTCTAATTCTCAAATTATTTCTGTTTCCGAATATCAGCCAATCCAATCTAATGTGAGTAACGGTTTTTGAACTTTTCCATATATAGCTCATTTTTCACAGCCAAATTATGTTCTTTCTCTCGTCTTTGAAATTTGAGAAAACAAATCTGTTAGTCATTTATTAAACGGTTCAAACATCCTTACCAAATCTTTCTAAAGCAAAGTACAGGTAAATGTCTATGGAGATTCTCAGTCATCTAGGTCATGATTATCCCAAAGGTGCTTTTTCAAGAGGCAACTAGACTGTCTGATTTTTTTTCTTTGAAAGTGTTTCGCTTCTCATCTGTGAAGAAGCTTCTGATGTGAAATGTCTTCAAAGAAAAACCAGAAAGTCCAGTTGCCTCTCGAAAAAGCACCTTTGGGACAAAGTACAGGTAGTTCTTGATTTATGACTGGTTGCTTAAGACTGTTTGAAATTACGATGGACTTGAAAAAGTTTACGACCCATCTTCAAAGTTATGGCTGCTGCACTACTCATGAAGTCATGTGAAATGGAAAGACCATTTTCGTTGGGGATCTCCTGCACTTTATTTGGGGTTTTTTTTTTCCTTGAGTTTTGATCAGTTCAAAAGAGGCAGCAAATTTTCTTCCGTAACTAACTTTACAGTACAAGTAGTCCTTGACTTACGACCATAATTGAGCCCAGAATTTCTGTTCTTAAGTGAAACACTTGTTAAGTGAGCTTTGCCCCATTTTACGACTGTGGTAAACATGATAATAAAATTGGGTCCGGCTCAGGGGTGGGTTCTAAAATTTTTTACTACCGGTTCTGTGGGCGTGGCTTATTTTGTGGGCATGGCTTGGGGGGGTGGTAATATGACTGGGTGGGAATGGCCAACTTGTTTTTTTTTTTTTTTTTACTTTTAAAAGCATTATTTCTACAAC